CAGGATTTTCCGTCCCTGAAACCATGTTGGCTGCTGTTGATGAGATCGTTCCTTTCTAGGTGTTCCACCACTCTTCTGATAATCTTCTCCATGTGTGTGTGTGTGTGTGTTGTGTGTGTGTGTGTGTGTGTGTGTGTGTGTGTGTACATTAGCTTCTCATTATTGGACTGCAGCTCTTGGGCCAATCTCTTCTCTTTCACATGACTAACGTCATCTTACCCGCATTTGCTTTCCTAACTGTCAACTGTTGCTGCTTCTCGTCCGCATTCTAGTTCGTTTTTATTGTCTATTTCACGCATTCTCATTCTCTCTCTCTCTCTCTCTCTCTCTCTCTCTCTCTCTCTCTCTCTCTCTCTCTCTCTCTCTCTCTCTCTCTCTCTCTCTTTCTCTCATCGCCATTTTACTTTTCCTCTCATTTCCATTTCCCACATTACCATTCACATTTTCGCGTCCTTCGGCTGGTCCGGCAACAGTTTGTGCAGCACAGTTTAAACAACTCTGATCGGCACTGACAACGAGCAATAAAGGATATCAGAAGTCTCATGACCGGCAAAGCTGCAATGATGTGAATTCCAGGAGTGCAGGGTGTTCAGCAGGGGGTGCTGGAGAGGGGTCCTGCAGGGTATCTTACAGGATGTCGTACAGGAAGCCCCCGTGGGGATGTTGGAAGGCAGTAGACAGCAAGGTAGAAGAGCTGGGATTGTTTCCACCCGCCAGTACTATGAGAATCTCAGGCGCAAGGCACCGGTCGGGTCCCTGAAATCTGGCCGCTTTTAATCGTGTTGCATCGTTCGTCGGCAAACTGCATCGTTCGGCCAAGCCCTTCGAGGTGCATGGCCGTTGTTTTGTAGCGCTCATCCGGGGCTAGTGAGGGAGGAACCTGTGCTGGAAAGAGGGGGAGAGAGAGAAATGGCGGGGCTTTATGTCACGTCAGGTTCCCTTATTTCACTCTACTCGTTTCCAGTTCCCCATCCCCCCATCACCCCTCCCCCCTCATCTTTCATCTCATCCATTCCCTTCCCCGTACTCGAGTTATCGGCATGATTAAATATCATTGCTAGTCATGCTCCAAGTAACTTGTGAAAGGACAGAGTTGGTTGGACGAGGGACACATTGTAACTTTAAAGTTGCGTGCACCGGAAAGCAGGCAAGTTGAAAGTTGACGGATAGAGTAGGTGATTGTGTGTGTGTGTGTGTGTGTGTGTGTGTGTGTGTGTGGTGTGTGTGTGTGCGTGCGTGCGTGTGTGTGTGTGTGCGTGCGTGTGTTGTGTGGGGGGGTTAAGGGAGGGGTGTGCGTCTGTGTTATACCGATTCTTGAAACTGTGTATGGATTTTGCCTCAAGCACTTCATCTAGCTTGATCCTCCCACTCCAACCTTAATATTAATAAACATTTTCTAGCCTACCTGAGGCTCATCTATATTTCTAGTTTCTACAGACATTGTCTTTGGTTCTTGCGATTCAAACTGCCTGTGTAAGTAAGTTTACTCAGGTACAGGTGCACGTAAATACAGTTATTTAAATGATCATACACAGCCGCATATGTTTAAATTTCCCAGGATAACCCCGAAAAAGAGTCAAACAATATGACTTATTTCCTGTGTCTGTCAGTCTTGTCCTGTAAGTATTTTTATGCTTGATCATCACGTCTGCCCTATTACTCCTCTCTCGTTAAGATAAAGTTAAATTCCGCCAGGACTCTGCTTATTCATCACACACATTTAATGAACAAGTCTAGTAGTAAATCTCTTGACCTTAGCAATCTTCTGAACATGCTTCGTCAGGCGGAGAGTCGATTGCCTGCGGTGTATATCCGGTGACTGGTCTGAAATATATCTCGTGTATAACACATCTTTAAGGGCTTCGTCATTGAGGTTACTGTTAGTGTCCAGAGCTTCACCAGCCTCGCAGACGCTGTAGAAGTTAAACTGTAGATGTACACAACTGCGTCAATATTCCTTTCTCCTCTAGTTTCTCCTCCTATTCTTCCTCTTGCTGCACTAATCATCTTTTCTCTCTCTTCTTCCAAAGTTTATCACTAACCAGACTCAGTAAATTCAGTAAATGAAAGTAAATAATAAGAGAGATTACGTTTTTAATTGACGATATCTTGTGAAAATAAATCTGACTTCAGCACAATGAAAATATATCAATACATTCATTTTGATTAAATAGGATGATGTCATTCGTTTACGTCGGGCTGAACCTCCGGTCACGTGGGTCAGCTGTCTGACAGTTCCTATTATTAAATGTTTCTCTAATGAAAATTGTGATAATAAATACTTTTCGACGAGGGTTTTGGCTGCAGTAACAGCAGCACCGCTGAACGTCAATATGGGGTTAGCACCGCCAGTAGCACCGCCAGTAGCACCACCACCACCACCACCACCACCACCACCACTCGACCCAGCAGCACGCCTACCTAAATGAAATATTACACCCACCCCTGTGGGAACAAAATGCTGCTACAGTTTAATTTGATCACTTCATCGCCAGCAATGATAGGAGTAACAATTTTGTGATTCTCATTCTCTCTCTCTCTCTCTCTCTCTCTCCTCTCTCTCTCTCTCTCTCTCTCTCTCTCTCTCTCTCTCTCTCTCTCTCTCTCTCTCGCTAGCATGGTCCTAGCACTGATTATTTATTTTATAATGTAATTCCTTGAAGAGCAGGTTAGACAAATATTCTAATGACTAGGATTGGCTTTGAGAAGACCCTGTCCAGTACGAGCCACCAATCCTACCTGGCTCCCCGCTACTCTGCTTGCTGGACAAAGTCGCTCTACCCACCTCTTCCCTCGAACCCTAGATTTGACTTGATATAAACCCTGACTCTTTCACTCTCTTATACTGCTGATGAAGATAGCAGACGGAGATGGAAATATGCAGGCTCTTTCAGGTCCATTTCCTCCTGTCATATATATGTCTCGCAGAATAAATAAAATTGGTCAATTAGCAGAACTCATTTATAATTAAGTCCTCTCTAAAATTTCATATTTTTTTTTTGATCTTAATGTAAATATCAATAATTTTGTACCAAAAGAAGCATAGAAACTTACCTAACCTTATTATAACAAGAGCAATTTAATTTACCCTAATCCAGCTAAATATATGTTAGATAAGTATATAATAATTTAATAATAAATAACACAATGAAACATATTTTTTTCGTTAGGTTCAGAATGATTTTTGCGGAATTATTACACAAATTTTTGCTTGCCTTTTTCGGTAAGAAGAGCGTTGCTATTTAAGCCAAAGTCACAAGTTTTACCTATTAGGCACGAGAAAAACACACACATTATATATATATACGTTATTATTAATAAATTCATGGGGACATAACCTATACAGATCATATAGCTATGGGTAATTGGAGGCAATCAAGTTTGATCCAAAAAATAGGGAAGTTACCCCAGTTTCTTGAATCAAGCTCTTCACCAGCAAGAGGGCATCATCCCCTCTTCACTTGAAAAACCTTGGACAAGAAAAAACTGGCTCCTAGTTTTCTCCTAGCTTTCTCTTAGCTTTCATTTAGCTTTTTCTTAGCTTTCTCCTAGCTTTCACATAGTTTTCTCTTAGCTGGGCTTGTGTTTTCCTCACGCACTCATTACCTATTATGCGCCTGCATATTCTCTCGGGTAAAAAAACTGCTCAAGCTCACACACTGCCAACAAAAACACGATTACCCCATTGCAGCAGCATCAGTTACCCCCTGTATTATACGTTTTTAAATTCCCGGCCGTGTGTGTGTCCGGAGACAAGACGAGGCCCATGTTCAGGGCGAGAACGGTTGCAAGGGAGCTTATTCCGGGCTGGAACAGAAGCAAGGGAGCGTATTCAAGGCTGGGATAGTTGCCAGGAACTGTATTAAAGGGTGGGATAGTTGCGAGGTAGTGTATTCAAGGGTGGGATAGTTGCAAGGGGGTGTATATAAGGTTGAAATAGTTAGAAGGGAATATTTACCTCTTTGAAATCGTTGCAAGTCAGTGTATTACAGGTTGGAATAGGTGCAAGGTTGAAATGGTTGCAAGGAAGTGTGTTCTACAATATGAGTTTTTTCCTCGTTGGAATAGATGAAAAGGAGTGCATTAAATGCTGGATAAGGTGCAGAAAAATATTCTCCAGGATATAATAGCTGCAGTAGGATGTTTCAGCAGTTCCAGAATATTTTTTTCTCAAGGGTTTCAGACTGTTTTCAAATATTCCAGAATATTTTAACAAGGGTTCTAAATTATTTTCGAGGGTTCCAGAATATTTTTCAAGAGTGGAGTCTGGAACAACTTTTAGTGGATATATTCAGTTCGGACAAGTTGTAAGAGCCTGTTCTAAATTTTAATAGTTTCAGGCGAGTGTTGCCATTTCGTGTTCCTTCCACTTACATTCCATAAGACAGGTAGACATGGTGCTCGTCCTCCAGAACCAAGGAAGATGTGTTATGTTTCTCCATTAATAAAGTTAGAATTAATGAGGGATTTCCAAAGCAGAAGTAGGTTTAGTGCGCCTCTACACAGGATGTGGTAGACTTAGCTGGCGTCGTGTAGAAAAAGTAGGCGAATTTAGTGGGTGCTTTCCTGAACAAAGGGAGTGTTAGTAGGTGTCGACCAGGAAAAGGGTGAATTTAAAGGGCACTTTCCTGAACAAGGGTAGATTTGGTGGGTATCACCAAGAAGTGGAATAAAAAGTTCCAAAATTTTTAAGGTACTAACCATCCTGTGTTTATAAATTTGAGGTGACAGTTAGGCATAATTAATTACAATGCAGGTACAGAAAATGAGAATGATTCTAAAAGTGTTACCGATGAATAAGCAACTACACATGTTGTATAACATACTGTATATCTACCACAGGGAATTAGACACATGTGCAACAACTGAGAATTTACATTTTGCAAGGGTGCACATGTGTTCAAATCACACATGAACTTGGATGATCATAAGACATAGTGTGTAAGGAAGTTGATGGCTTGTGTGAGCGGCACTCTCACCCTTCTTCTTTTCTCTTGCAGATGAACCGCCCGATTCAAGTTAAACCCGCCGACAGTGAGAGTCGAGCAGGTAAGGTACAACGTCCGGTTAGCTGGGTTAGCTTGCACGGGTATTGTTAATGCTGTATCTCCCTTTAGGCTGACCTCTGCGAAGTTGACTTTTTTTTGTAAACAAAATTAGGTAAACCAGCAATGTGCAGCTGCACTAATTAATCTATATAATAGTTGCATGGTGGGAACAACACCCCCAATGTGTGCAGTCACGTTATTCTATATGAGAGTTACACGCTGGGAGCACCCACGGTATGCTATCCTATTCAATATAAAAGTTACATTGTGGGAACCAAAGCCAACTATGCTTCCCTGTTATTGTCCATCACACTGGATGGGTTATATACACATGAGATAATGAAATGTATCAGTTTGAGCTGGGAGACTTCAGGATGTCGTGGAGCAGGGAAGGGGAAGTGCTTACTGGCGTATACATGAAGATAGTTTCGAGGATCAGCTTTCTCTTGGTCCGGTCCCAGACCAGGCTGTTGGTACTTGAAATCCGACTTAGCCACCACAGGATTGTTGGCCAGGAGCTAGAGAATGAGTAACGTGATTGTGTTGTAAGATTGTGACGAGTTGTAGCTAAAGAACTGAAAATAATGATAGTTATAATAGGGTAGTTATAACCGTCTAGTTAAAACTAGACTAATATAACTACAGGTAGCGACTGATCAGGTAACAGGTAGCGACTAATGTGAGTGTTGGATTGTTTCTCATTTTAAATGAAACAGATTCTGTCAAAATGAAGTTAGAATCAACGGGAGTTGTTAGAAGCTGAGATTACAATCAAAGAAAGTAAAGCAAAAGGACACAAGTGCAACTAATGTGGCATTTTTATTGTGGCAACGTTTCGCTCTCCAGGAGCTTTGTCGGTAATTCTACCAACTTTATTACAAAGAAAGTAGCTTGAATCTTCAGGATCAGAATTGTTAGATAGTTTAGACAAGGATAAGCTAGATCTGTCAGGAAACTGAGGTTAGAATCAGATGAGATTGTTAGTTCTAGTCAAGATCGATTAGAATTGTGATAGGCTGTAAAGGAATGAGTTGAGGTTGTGATGGGTTGAGTGAATCTGATTGAGGTTAAGTGACTCTGGGTTCTTCTCTTTAAGGTTGACGAGGTGGTGCATCACCAGTACGTTAGAGATATTTACCGTTTTCATGTTGTGTGTAGTTTTACCCAGCCAGGTGTGAAAGGCTGATGGATGGGTGAGGGAGTGGATTCACGGGACGGATAGAACACGGATGGACGGAGAGGGTTGAGCGAGAAAATTAAAACATGGGTTAGAGAAGTGACGGACGGAGCATGGGTGGATAGCTGATAAATGGACGAGAGATGCATGCATGCATGGAAGAACAGTTGATCGTTGGATGGGTGAAAGATGGATAAATAAGTCAATAGTTGATGGGGAAGAGGATTTATAGGGGTAAATGCTGGTAGATGGAGATGTGGGTGATTAATGAATGAATTGATGGATGAGTTAGTAGCTGATTTGTGGATGAATGGGTGTATGAACTGATGATAGATCATTGATGGTAGGACACTGATGGTAAATCAATGTCCTACCATCAATGATAGTCATTGATGACAGGTCATTAATTGATGATAGACCATTGATGATAAATCATTAATGACAGGTCATTGATGATAGTCACTCATGATACGTCACTCATAGGTCACTGATGATAAGTCATTGATGATACGTTATTGATGATAGGTGATTATGCTTCAGGTGTGTAGTATGACAGGAAATCTCAATTGTGGTAAAACAAGTGGTCACTATACCCCAGGAGTGATATGACGAGTGGTCACTATACCTGAAGTGTAGCTTTACCTCCGTCACATAATACCAAAAGGTCAAACAATGAATGCACTTTTGCCAGAGGTCACAATTGATAATATGTAGACTAATGAGAGATCTGTACGGTATTTATCTCTAGTATATAATGGCAATATAAAAATATATATATATATATATATATATATATATATATATATATATATATATATATATATATATATATGCAGAACAACCACTGTGAAAAAATAGTGAAATTCCAAGCTATTTCGCGATTTCTCACATTATTAAGGAACTATAAAAATAAAAGATTAATAAGAAAGCATTTAAGGACAAGACTACACCTCACTGCCATCTCACAACACCTGACTTTTCATGATGATGTAGGTAGGTAGTCAGTGATCCGTGAAACACAGCCCCAAAAAGTTTTTTAATTTGTATATATAAAGATTATCTCTACGTCCACAGCAAGACTCGAACATGCAAACTCTGCATCAGAGTATACTGCATGTTGCAAGATTTGATGAAATAGCTTTGAAAACAAGCCTGGTGCTCCGAGGTATGGGAAAACATCGTCTAGCTTCTGTTAGGCGCCCATACTTATCTGGGATCTGGCATTGTAGGTAAAATACTGTGTATTCTAATACAGAGTTTGCAAGTTAGAATCCTGCTGTGGACGTAGAGATAATGTTTTTAAATAATTTCGCCTGTTTGCGAATTGCTAAGCATATTTTTATGAAAATCTAATGTTCTGCCGAATAGGTAAAATTGGTCAATAAGCAAGAACTCTCTTAAAATTTTCTAAAATTTTCTCTTAAACGTTTAAAGATATATTTATATCATTTATGTTAAAATAAATTAATAATTTTGTATCAAGAGAACCTTAGAAAACTTACCTAACCATATTATAACAAGCTCAATTTTATTTAGCCTAATCCAACTAAATATATTTTAGATAAGTTTACAATAATTTGATAACAAACATAATGAAATATATTTTTTTCGTTAGGTTTAGAATGGCTTATGTGACATTATTACATACACAAATTTTCGCTTGTTTATTCGGCAAGAAGAGCGTTGCTATTTAAGCCAAAATCGCAAGTTTTACCTATTCATTACGATATAATATGTATATATATATATATATATATATATATATATATATATATATATATATATATATATATATATATATATATATGCAATAAGATCACAGTAAACAGGTGATTTTCGAATATGCAAAACAACCACTGTGAAAGAATAGAGAAGTTCCAAGCGCTTTCGTGACTACTCACATCATCATTGTTCCTTGATAATGTGAGTAGTCACGAAAGCGCTTGGAACTTCTCTATTCTTTCACAGTGGTTGTTTTGCATATATATATAATATATATATATATATATATATATATATATATATATATATATATATATATATATATATATATATATATATATATATATATGCAACAAGATCACAGTAAACAGGTGATTTCAGATTATGCAAAACAACCACTCTGAAAGAATAGAGGAATTCCAAGCGCTTTCGTGACTACTCACATTATCAAGGAACTATGAGTTCCTTGATAATGTGAGTAGTCACGAAAGCGCTTAGAATTTCTCTATTCTTTCAGAGTGGTTGTCTTGCATATATATATATATATATATATATAATATATATATATATATATATATATATATATATATATATATATATATATAATATATATATATATATAGGGAGGTACCGCCTCTGAAACTGTGCTGGGGACCCTCATCCTCAGAGAAAAGAATAAACATACTTCGGGGAAAACTCAAGGTTCTCCCCGGAGCTGTTTGAATATTGTCTTCTCCTACCATCCCCTATATTCTATATTCTAGATAGACTTTATTTAAAGACAAAATACATTTACAAAAATAGGAGTAGAACAACATAGATGCCAAGGGATGCCTAGCCCATGATGACACTCTTCAGGTCGCTTGTTCTATCTAGGCTGGAATATTGCTGCTCACTAACAGCACCTTTCAAGGCAGGTGAAATTGCTGACCTAGAAAAATGTACAGAGAACCTTCACGGCGCGCATAACGGAGATAAAACACCTCAATTACTGGGAGCGCTTGGAGTTCCTAAACCTGTATTCCCTGGAACGCAGGCGGGAGACATGCATGATTATATACACCTGGAAAATCCTAGAGGGACTAGTACTGAACTTGCACACGAAAATCACTCACAACGAAAGCAAAAGACTCGGCAGACGATGCAACATCCCCCCAATGAAAAGCGGGGTTGTTACTAGCACGTTAAGAGACAATGCAATAAGTGTCAGGGGCCCGAGACTGTTCAACTTCCTCCCAGCATACATAAGGGGGATTACCAATAGACCCCTGGCTGTCTTCAAGCAGTCACTGGACAAGCACCTAAAGTCGGTACCTGACCAGCCGGGCTGTGGCTCGTACGTTGGATTGCGTGCAGCCAGCAGTAGCAGCCTGGTTGATCAGGCTCTGATCCACCAGGAGGCCTGGTCACAGACCGAGCCGCGGGGGCGTTGACCCCCGGAACTCTCTCCAGGTAAACTCCAGGTAAGATAACATCTCACAGATATATATCTAATAGTTCGTCCAATTCCCCTGCGGTGGGCCGCATGCCCAGAATGCTGCAGGCATTTTCCCTGTGGATCGTAACACTGAGTCTCTGAAAGAGATTCTGGCCGCTCTGTGATCCTTGGTTTCTATGATGATGGTTTCCGACTCTCCTGGGATGAAGTTATAGCAAGGGGGAGGACCTTCATATTTACGGATCTTCTGGGTCTCCTTGTAGCTGGCGCATCCACCCCCTTCAGCTTCAGAGTATGGCAAGTAGGTGTCTGCCAAAGTGGCGGCACAGGTGTAGTCCCAGGTAATCTGCTTACCATCCTTCCAGGGTAGCACATTGATTCCATCAGGATGCTTTTGACTTCCGTCAGACCTCTGTATTTGGCTGGGCAACGAGCTGTGGCGAGACTCTATGATGTCGTTGACCTCCTCATGTCTAGAATACGTCTATTCTAATATGTGACGCACGAGACCATGAAATCTGTAATGATCAGCCGCAAATACACCTATGTTCGGTGAGTATGGGGGCGGTTAGGCGAAGAGCAACACCAATCCGAAAGGACTGTGGGTCGAGTCGAGTGCCCAGAGAGGAACTGGGAAGAGCTAAAAGGAAATCTCCTAAACGTT